CTCCTCGCGGGGAGGGATAGGGAACAGTACGTCCCTTCTCCCTCCCAATGTGATCCTCTATTACGGGAAAAGCCGGGCAATCGCGACTTTTCCCCGCCCTCCCGTGTTTATTGGGGGGCTGAGGTCAGCCAGGAGCCCCCGCTCCTAACCGACCCCCCGCCGGAGGAGAGATAGAATTCCGATATGTCTACGGTATCTCCCCTCCGGCCATCCAAGTTGAAAGGACCCGTTGTGTCCCTCCTAGGGGGAGAACCTCCCCGGGGGTTGGTAGTAACACGCTTGTGATACATGTCACCGCCCAGGGAGGCCCCCCTATTTCCTCTGCCCCCTCTTGGGGGTGGGGGGGGGTTATTGGCGACAATATAGTAGGAGGGGGGATTAATTAATCCCCTCCCCTTACCGCCTCCCCCCTTCCTTATTCTCTCCGCCTCCTCCTTCTGAAACATTACTTTGTCACAGAAGGAGGAGACAGCCCTCCATTTATCCTCTCCCTCCAGCATGGCGTTTACCAATGCTGGTAGGGAGAGGTCCTCGCCGACCACTGCGGTCAGGACCCGACGCTCTCCCTCCCATGCTTCACACTCTTCTAGAGTGTGTCGCGCCGAGTCCCGACCGGCCGCACAGTGGTGGCACCTTGTCGTACACTCTCTACCTATCCTGCACAGGTAGTCACCGAAACAACCATGTCCGGTGAGTACCTGTGTCAGGTGGAACCCGATACCGTGTCCCCTCCTGTCCGCCCATTCGGGAAGACAGGGTTGGATGGCCTGGGTGGTCCATCTACCCGCCGTGGAGCCAGCCAAGAAGGTCTGCCATGCCTCCAAGGCTCCCCGGCGGGCGTCCGTCCGTAGTCTGGCCACGACTCGTGGCAATAGGCGAGCCCTCCCGGTCCGGTCTGGGTCCCTCGTACGCCGATAAAATTCAGCGTACGAGTTCGCCAGGAACTCGGCCGCGATGAGGCCCGCCAGAGCCGTGGCCGCCGCGTACGACGTCGTGCTGTAGGCCCGGATCAACCTAATGGCCAGCCGGCGCTGTTGACGATGTAGCAACGCCTGTATGCGCCGACTGGCCGTGACCCTTTCGGCCCACACCGGTGCTCCATAGAAGAGCACCGATTGCACGACGTTCGCGTAAAGTCTCCTGACTTTATTCCGCGGACCACCCAAGTTCGGAAGGAGGCGACCCAATGCCGCCGCCATCCTTTCCGCTTTGGGGGTTATCCCAGCAAAGTGCTGCTCAAACCCCCAAAGTCCATCCAGGGTGAGGCCCAGATATTTCATCTGGGTCCCTACCCGGACACGTACCTCCCCCACCCAGATTTGGGTGGGGGGGGGGTCGCCCCGATTCTCTGCTATAGAAGTACAGAGCTTCTGTCTTCTGCGGGGCGACCTCAAGTCCCATTGTTCGTATCGAGTGTACGACTGCCCGGGTGGCGGCGTTCGCCGCGTCCCGGGCCTCTCTCCAGCTCCTCCCCCGGGCTACCACCAGAGTGTCGTCTGCATAACATAACAGACGACAGCCCGGGGGAAGAGCTGTGCGGAGCACTCTGTCATATGCGAGGTTCCATAATAGGGGTCCTAACACCGACCCCTGAGGAACCCCGCAACAGACCTCCCTTCGGCTTACCCGCTCCAGCTGGTCCTTATACTGGAGCGTCCTGTCACGGAAATAGTCCCAAAGGACCTCCCTTATGTATGGGGGAAGGTCATGAAATTCCATGGCCCTCCCCACACATTCCCATGAGAGGGAGTTGAAGGCGTTGACAATGTCCAGCGACACCGCCAACGCCACATCTCCCTCCCCTACAATTTGGTCCGAGAGGGCCCGCAGATGCATAATTGCATCTGTTGTAGATCGGGCCTCTCGGAACCCAAATTGGTCCTCCGATAGATTGGGACCATCCCGCGACAGGTGCTGGACGATTCGGCCGGCAATGATTCTTTCGAATAACTTGCCGACCTCGTCCAGCAGGCATATCGGCCTGTAAGCCGAAGGTTGCTCCGCCGGTTTCCCCTCCTTGCGAAGTAGCACAAGGTTCGCCACCTTCCACAAGGAGGGGAAGGTGCCCGACCTGAGGCATTCATTAAACAGTCGCCTCAGTCGAGCACCCACCACACCAAAAGCCAAGGCCCAAACACGGCCGGGAACCCCGTCCGGGCCGGGAGCCTTACCAGTAGCTCCCAGCCTTTTGGCCGCCTCGGATAGCTCCCTCTCAGATATCTCCAGGTCCCCGATCCAAGTGGGGGGATCCCCCCTAGGGGGGATGTGGACGTCTCTTAAAGGAAAGAGACTCCCCACCACCTGGTCGAGGAACCCGGGGTCCAGCATCTCCGAGGTTGGGGGCGTCGCCGGTCTCAGTCTGTTGAGTACCAGACGGTACGGACGCCCCCAAGGGTCCCGGTCAAGCTCTGCGAGCATCTCCTCCCAGGCCTTGGCTTTGGCCCTGCCGATGGCTGTCCTTAGGGAGCACCTTGCGGCCAGGTACTCCCCGTACGCCTCGGCAGTGCTTTCATCCTCCCCGCCCACCCGTCTTCGGGCCCTGAGGAGACCGCGTCTTGCTGCGTTCGCTTTCTTTCGCAGACCCGCGATCTCCTCATTCCACCAATACTTGGCCCGACGGGGGGCGGGTTTTGATCGGGGCATGGCCATGTCGCACATGCGTTCGACCATGTCCCCGATCTCCCTGGCTTCGGCCCCGGCGTCGACGAGGTCGGGGGAATCCGACCACGCCTCCACCAAGGCCGCCGCCAACAATTTGTCCCGGTCCATCCTGGCCAGTGCCCACCTTTTAGGGGGACCCTCACCCCTTTGACGGCGGCGGCGGGCCAGCACCTCTTGGGGGGTGGCGGTTAGGACCATCTCTATACATAGATGGTCCGAGAGAGTCTCCCGATCCGCCACCCTCCATGACCTCACCAAGTCCGCGGCCCGGGGGGAAGCCCACGTCAAGTCGACGATGGACTCCCCCCGGGGGTGGATGCAGGTGCTATCTGACCCCCTGTTCAATAACAAGAGGCCGAGACCCGCCGCCCAATCCACCACGGCCCCACCCCTGGTGTTGGTGAACCGGGAACCCCACTCCCTTGACCAGGAGTTGAAGTCCCCGGCCACCAGTACGGGATGGGGGAAGCACCGGCGAATGCCCTCCCCCACCACCCTCAGCTGTTCTCTCAGCTCAGGGTGGGGCCGTTTTGGTGGGGCGTATACCCCCACCACATAAAGCGCTCCCCATCGCGCTATGACAAATCCCGCCCCCGTTCCACAAGGGTAAGGGGGGGATTTGCGGGGGAGTTCCTCCTTACAATGGCGACGGAGCCGTTCGAGGCCGAAACCCATTGGGATTGGATTCCTGCACCTGATACGGCTCCGTCGCCACTCCCAGACCAGCATCACGCCCGTCTAGGTCCTTCAGAAATAAATCTTGGGCTCGACGGGCGTGATTTAAGTTGACCTGGAGGAGTTTCGTGGACATTGTTAGTTTCCACTAACCTGTCCCTCCTCCAGGCCACCCGTGCCTGCCGTTGTTATGACAGCTGGAGGTGGGTCCACCTCCATTTCTTCCATGGGGGGATTTGGTTCCCCCCCTGTGGACGATTTCGCCGCTGTCATCCTTACCTCCTTGTTTTTAGGAGGGGGGATGGGTGCCACTATGGCAGCTCCCCCCTTCTTCTTCTTATTTCCTCCCTTGGGGAGTTTGCATGCCGGCCCCATCATTCGGTGGGAGGCCGGACGGCCCGCATCTTGACACACGGCGCAATTGACCCGCGCCGTGCATCCTCGGGCCTCATGCCCCTTTTCTCCGCAACGGTAACAAATACCGCTGCGGTCGACATTTGTGCTAGGGCACATGGCCCTAACGTGGCCCCTCTCCATGCATCTGTAACATTGGAGGGGGCGCACCTCCAAGAGTTCAGCCCGGGCCCGGAAAAATCCGTCAACCACTACGTGTCCCTCCTGGGCGACCTTATTGGACGCCCCGAGGGGGCACTTAACCCAGACCGCGTATAGGCCCCTGGGGATGGGAGAGGGCTTTATGTCCCCCACTTTGACTTCAGTGGGGGAGCACCCTCCCTTCTCCGCCACAGCCTGAGCAACACCCTCCGCCGTGGTCGACGGTGGCAGATCCCGAATACGGATCTCGCCCATTTTTTGAGGGCGATTGATCCGCACTTCGGGTCTGTCAGCGAACATACTGCGCATCTTTTGCGCCAGTACGTCCGCCTTCTTCTGTCCCTCCGGGCCCGGGATCTGTATGATCATCGCCCCAGTTTGACCAGGTACGGCTTTCGTCGGCGGGATCCCCATCTCCTTCAGTGAGATCTCCCTGGTGACCTTTTTTAGCACCTCAGCATACTCCCCCACTGGGCATGTGAGGGAGACCGACGCAGTTAGGCACCTTCCTCTTCTTCTTCTTTTTCCCTCCCTTATCTCCCTGAGGGCCCGATTTGGGCGGGGAGGGGGGGGATTTAGGGACGGTATTGGGCACCGTCTTTATTGTCCCTTTTGCGTTCTTAGTTGTAGAGGAGAGAGGGGTCTCCTTCCTCTTCTTCCTTCTCACCACCTCTGTAAACAGAGGTGGTGAGTTTTCCTGCTGTTGTTGCTGCTGCCCCGGGGTCATGGCAGTGCTCGTTACAGCGGGTCTTCCTCCAGTGGGAATTGGCTGCCTCGGTTTTGCAACCGGGGTTTTCTTTTCCCCCTGTAGGGGGGGGGGGGAAGGCCGACAGTGGGCTGTCGCACAGCGGCGGACCGCGCCAAACACCTTCCCCCTTCCCCTTCTTTCCCTCCCCCCCTGGAGTCCGCCGCAGGGGGAGCCACCCTTTTAGTTGAGGGTGGACTCCTACCGGCAGGGGGTCCAGGGGAAGGAGGGTTAGGCAAGGAGGGAGGGGGGAACCTGTCCCCCAAGAGCTCCCTCAACATTTGGGGGAGCTCCCTCATCACCCGGGAGAGAGACTCCTCCACCTGTTTCTTCACCTCCCTAGCGATAATTCCAGCAAGACCGTCACCCGGGAGGACGGTGTCGCTGGCAATCACCGGGAGGACAGGGTCCTCCAGCCTCTTCACTTTATTCTGGACGGGGGGTCTATATGCTGGGTTATTTATCAAATCCTCCCTGGTGACTATTATGGGGGATGGTTCTGGAATGATTTCCATCACCTCCCCCACCCCCGTTGCCACTTCCGCCTCTTCCATTTTTGCGGCCGCAGCTCTAATCCTTGTTTTCGGGGGGGAAGGAGGAGGGGAGGTTCTCTCCCTCTCCTCCCTCTCCCTACGGAGGTCATCATTCTCTTTTTTCAGGAGGCGATTAGCCTCCAGGATGTCCTCCAATTTTGTGTTTGCGGAGGGGGGGGCTCTGCCCGCAACGGGGCTATAATAGCCCTTCTCCGCTCTTTCCGCCAGTATCGCAACCCCCGCCTCAAAAGAGGAAGCCGCCGTTTTAAGGAGCCCGGATAGGTCCCCCTTCAACCCCTTCAAGATGTCGGCCACCTTAATGATGCCTTCAGTGCTCGTCTTAAAGTCGTCCAAGATGTCCTGGATCGACGCATCTTTGTATTCTGCGACTTTGTTCTTCACTTTCTCGACGTGCTTGAGATATCTTTGCGTCGTACGGTCAATCACATGATGAGGGTTCATCACCTGTTCCGCCACTTTTTTGTGCATCTTCTCGACATTCTTCATGTCAGACTCCCTCCTTTTTTGAAGAGTGAATTGCCCCACATGTGAGGGATCCAAAGCAGGACGCCCCCTAGGCTCATCTTTCCTAGCGCGCATCCTCAAGTCCTCATTATCTTCCTCATCAGTGGACATGGTACCCTGTACCCTTGTCCTCCTCTCCGTCCTCTCCCTTTTTTCCTCCTCTTTTCATCAGAGGAGGGGGTCCCCGGAAGATTAGCGGGCTCCGGTGATTTTCTAGGCCTTTTTTTGGCCCCAATCTCCTGTTTGCTGGCTCTGGAGGCAGATGAGGCTGTTGTCTCATTGCCATCATTCTCATAATCAAGGCTGGAGTCTACGAGGGCACGGACCCCTCGTAGGAGGCTTTCCTCCGACCCCGTCCTTGACTTACCCTGCAGTCTCCTCGGAGACCCGGCTCTGGAAGGGTTCCTTGATGGAGCCGGGGTACCCGCAGGGGTGCCTTTTCTTGACCTGGGCCCAGGTCTTTGATGTGGTTGAAGAGAGGGGGGTGGGTTCCCACTCATTTCTTCCACCATCATCACGTCGTCGGAGTCCATGCCCCCCCTCAATCTCAAAGTTGAGACTTGAGATGGAGCACTGGACTCTGGAGACGTCCTCGACATCTCCTCTCCCCCAACATCGGAGATCTGTGCATCGACCGAGAGAAGAATACTCTCGGGTTCGGGACACCGATTCCGATAACCATCATCGCTCACGTTTTTAGTAAAAGGCATCATTTTCGTTTCTATCCCACGACCCACTGCGGCTCCGTTGACCGGGCATGCCCTCTACGTCCCGAGTTCCCCCGGGAGGTCAACATATGGCTCAGGCACCGGGAATAATCATCCGGTGCACTGGCCTCCAGCCCCTTACTGGCCCCTGATTTTACTCAGGGGTTTTCGGGGGTCCCGCACCTCCGACAATGCGGGCACCGCAGTGGGTGCAGCCACGCGGGGGGCCCCACGGACGGTTGGGGCGGGGAGTGTTGCGACCCACTCCACGCCTTACCCGCCGTGGCGACCAGCGAACCCACTCCTCGACCGAACACTCCGGAACCGGTAAAACCGGGGACGCACTCCGGAAGTGAACGGTCCTCACTGCTCGACCCTGCCTCGGAGTAATTCCGAGCGGCCCGAGCAGCTACACCCCCGCCATCCGACCCTGCCTCGGAAACGTCCGAGCGGCTCGGAATGGCCCAGCCCGACGAGCCCGGGAGTTTCGGGACATCGACGGCCCGTCACTCTCCTTCACGACCGCGTACTCATGGACCACGTCCACAAGCCGTTTGGCCGGAGAGGGAGAGTCGTTCTTGTGGGACGCCGCTTCCCCCCCATGCCAGACCGCACCCTTTCCCCTCCCAAAATTGGAAGAGGAAGAGTCGGCCCCAGACACAAGGAGGACCGGCACCCACATCCCATCCCTTTAGACAGGGCCACCGGAGTGGCCCCACCAGAGACCCATCCCGCCGGAGCAGCAGCCCCGGCCAAGACGGGCCTCAACCACGGGGGAGCACCCCCTGGCCAGCCGCCCCACTGGGCTAACGAGCCTGGCCGCCCGTGCATGGAGGGGAGATAGAAATCTCCCCCTAACGGTGCCATGCCACCGGGGTTTGAAGTCAGAGTCCCCGTTTCCTACCAGCGATTGGGACAAGTCCCTAAGGAGTCGCTGGGCTCCTCTTGTTCCCTCCAGCGAGGGAACTGTGCGCTCTTGGCACCACAAGACGACTCCAGCGAGCCGCCCCATGGTGAGCCCCTTCACCACGACAAGGTGGCGCACGACGAAGGGGAGGTGACGTCACACTATCAAGTGGGAGTACAACACCATGTATATGCAACAGGGTGTTGCATATACATATTGGGCAGTACGACGGGTTGCGTGGCATACTTT